ATTTTGAAAAATGGCCTAATTTTTTAAAAATGGAACCAAGTTCCAAAACATGAACAATTTTTTAAAATATGAACAGTTTTTGAAAATTTGAACATTTATTGACAAATAACTAGAAACTTCGAAATTCTGAACATTTTTAAAATGTTCATCATTTTTCAAAACAATGAAAAAAATTGAAAACAAGAACAAATTTTGAAGCCCAGAGCAAAATTTGAAAATTTAAGTAAACTTGAAAAAAAGGAAAAGAAATAAGATGGAAAGAAAAAGAAGCAGTAAAAAGAAAAAATGAAAAACGTTTAGGAACCTCCTAGAAGGTTCCCAAAACCGGAAAAAACCCCGACTGGGAACCACCTAGAAGATTCCTAAAACCGGAGTTGCTCAAAATGTTAACGGGCTGGCCCATAGGAATGATCGTCGATCTCCACCTGTGCGTAGCCTCGACAACTTGCGGCAACGAGAGGCAAATAGGAATTTCCGTCGCTCATAGTGAGCAATAATATGTGCTGGTGTCGCTTGTTCAGGCTTCGTTTGCTAGGCCCGGCAGCAGCCCATCATTGGCGGATGACGAATCAGGATTTATTACGTACGGGTCTTTTTTCTTCTTTGTCATTTATTTCTTTCTTCCTCACGGCTTTTGTTCCTTCTTCTCCATGGTTTTCTTGACACTAGACCTAGCTATATATGTGGTCCTTTAAAAGAGAGTGTGTATGTATTATAAAAAAAAGGAAGCATGTACATGGGCACATAAAATGATTTGTTTCTTTTTCAAACAAAATAGCGTATTTGAGGTAAAAAAAAGGAATTTTTTTTACAAATGTTCATCAATTCTAGAACTGTTCATGAGTTTCAAAATTGTTTGTGAAAAAAAAACAAGAAATATTGGAAAAACAAATGTGAACTAAAATATGTTCATCAATTTGGAAAAGTATTTTTAAGTTTAGAAAATGTTGATGAAATCTAAAAATGGTCACAAATTGTAAAATATATCACGATATAAAAAATGTTCATGATTTTTGGAAATAAAAAATATCCACTAATTTGAAAATATTTGTGAATTTAAAGTATTTTCGTGAACTATAAAAAATAATTGATTTTAAAATATGTTCATGAATTTTAAAAATTCCAAAAACATTCTTGATTTTTTAAAAATACCTTTTCCAGATACACGGGAAATATTTTCTAAAATACACAATAAACCATTTAAAAATGCATGGCGAATATTTTTTATGATGAGATCATTTCGTTGTTTTGAAATTATGATGAAAATCTTATAAATACACGATGAACATCTCTTTTAAATGCGATGCACATATTTTAAAATACAAAAAGTTACATGTAGAAGAAAAAAGTTCAAAAAGGAAATAAAATAAAATAACCAGATTTGCATGTCGAGGGGTGGACATGTTCTGGGCGGGTTGAGTTTCGGGTCAAGGGCTACATCCAACTGGGTCAGGAGAAGTTGTGCATCGAGGGTGGACATACAATTGGGTCTGTTAGTTTCGGATGAAGGGTCAAGGGTGGACATGCAACTGAGTTCGGGCGATTTGCGTGTTGAGGATGAACATGCAACTAGATCAGTTGAGTTTCGGATCAAGTGTGGACATGAAACTAGACAAGGATGGATACACATCTCGGTGTGTTGTTATTTTCTGGACTGATTTGCACAATGTGAGAGACGAAAATGCTCATGGATTTTCGAGAATTAGTTTATTGGGGTAGTTGTCACTAATGGTCGTCGCATCTGTTCCAAATTAATTACCATGTAACTCTAACAATATGGTACTCCATGACAAATGAGTATATTTTTTATAAAGAAACTCACAATATAATATCCGAACAGGGCATCTCAATGTGAACTCAATCTAAGCTCCGCCATGAGAGATGGTTTATTTTCAGTGCACTAGCTTCGCTGTCCTCACATGTAGAGGAACACCGAACATGTCGGATCGACCCCTATAGATCTAAACAGAGCAAAGTGACCGACGTAGTATTAGTGAGAACTACAGGAAAAGACAATCAGATTAACTCTGGAATTTCTTCAGCACCGAGTTCAAAGTAAGAAAGTCCTATAAAGTCCTGGCGGTCATAGAGTGACTTCTTATTCTCAGCTAGATTTCATAGCATCTTGTCCACTAACTGACGCTTTGCTCTCCCTATGCAATTATACTGAAGCAAGGTTTCTCCAGATATCTCTCGATCCTCAAGGTTACTGTTTCTTCCCCTGCTCTATCTATAATAGTGTCTCACATGGCCTTGGTTCTCAAAAATGCATATACAATTCATAGCACATATTTAATGATTGTGATATGATCATGATATCCAATGAACATCACAACCTATATGTGTGCGCACACTTCAATCCTTGGGTACCACTGTATGCTACTCCGTATTTAATACCAAGCGGCATAGCAAGAAAAATTTATTATTGCATCAAGTGGAGCTTGGGTGGCGGGGACCGCAGGTTGGGACGTCGAGGTCTTTACTGGCGGTGACACCGCAC